CCTAAAATCACCATAAAGGTTTAAAAGGAAACACAAAATACAAGTCACTAAAACTGGATTTTTTTAAAAGGAAAACACAAGGGCACAGTAATCAAGTCACCAGACTATTAACTAATTGGGCCTAAAACTCTTGTATCTGCCCTTATATAGCAGTACACTTTTACCAGCTTAATTTGTAATTTGCTAGGGGCTGAAAAAGCAAAGTTTCAGCCCAAACCAGGCTGAATGTGCTTAAAAAACACACTTGGACGATGCTGTGTTGGCTGGAGTGCAGGTTTTTTCAAGATTCACAACATTCCCAGCTCAGTCCTACTGCCTTCCATAGCTTTCCAGGCAAAATTTTGTACAGAGAACTGCGGCAGATTTTGGTGATCTGACTCTTCAATGCTAGAGGCTATGCAAAGGATGCAGCATTGTGTTTCATTATCTATATTTAAACTTCTTCTCCCTGCTCCGGGCTCAGTCTATGGCCTTTGTATTTGGGATCAATCATGCTGGCAAAGTAATAGCTTCTCTGAATCATTTTTCAGTCTTGTCCGTGTGTGTTTCCAATTCTCTGCTCTTAATTAGATCAACCCAGATTTCAAATGAGACTGCAACAGCGCTGCCGTCCTCCTGTAATCTGTCAAATCCTTTCATAACTTTCTACCGTTGCTTTTGTAAATGTAGCGTCTCTCTGGAGTGCTCCCTGTTGTGTCAAGCGTGTGCTATGTTCTGATCCAAATTCTCTCTAGGCTCAGCACAAATGTTAACACAATGACGGGGGGATTTGGATGCAAATAGAGAGAGACACACTCATCCTGAGAACTCCTCTAAACTGAGAAGCTGAATCCTCCATGCTCTCTTATCAGCCAGACAGCTGGCCATGGGGCTGATGGTGACTCCAGAAGAATTTCTGAACTTCCACAATGTACTTGAGGACTAATTTTTTTAAAGTTGAGTTGATCAGACTCAAGTGTAGGGGATGGGTATAGGGGGTACCACACATCCAAAGTTACACAGACAACTTCTTCCTTTATGGCCATTGACACATTACATTAGCTATACATTAAATCACACATTTTTTGGTTGGCTTGGTTACTTGGCGGGTACTAATCCCTGTACAGCATGTTCTGTCCATTTGCTGTTCATTGGGAAGCTGATCTTTACATTCCAGGTTTATCTTGTCCATGGTCCCTAACATCAAGTTGTTGCTGCTTATCTTAGCTAGCACAGACATCCCGACTCCAGCACACTGTTTGTCAAGTCCCTATTTACAACTTAACCTTCCATTCACCTTCTCAGTTAGGCCCACTAAGAAATGAGTTACCAAGTTACTTATGTCAAGCCAGTCCTGCGACCCAGTAGTGGAGCCACAAGTTGAGAACCTGCCTGGAGAAGTCTATCCTGAGAGAATGCTTCATTTTTTTTCTTTGGAGTTGCTGAATGGGTGCTACATTGAAGGCAACACTAAGAACATAAGAACGGCCATACTGGGTCAGACCAAAGTCCATCTAGCCCAGTATCCTGTCTACCGACAGTGGCAATGCCAGGTGCCCCAGAGGGGTGAACATAACAGGTAATGATCAAGTGATCTCTCTCCTGCCATCCACCTCCACCCTCTGACAAACAGAGGCTAGGGACACCATTCTTTACCCATCCTGGCTAATAGCTATTAATGGACTTAACCTCCATGAATTTACCTAGTTCTCCTTTAAACCCTGTTATAGTCCTAGCTTACACAACCTCCTCACGCAGCGCCACTGAGTGTGGCTACATAGGCCTCTGTATTGATCTGTGGGCCAGTGTGAATGCTTGTGTGAGAGTGATCTGTTGTAAGGGTCACAGGAAGACGCCCAGAGTTCTCTGCAAAGCCTGTTGGCTCGTGACCAGAGATGCCTCTAAAGCAAGCTCTGTGACTCCAGCTAGTAGAACTGAAACAAAAGGGCCCTGACCGAAGTAGCATCGCTCTGCTGGCTTGACTGGTGAGGGGACTGCCTGGGTCTAGGTTTGTGTGTCCCTATCCTCCCCATCCTCGGATGGCCTGATTTCCTCAACCTCTTTCCCCTAATTCTCCTTCCCCGCCTGTGGGTTCGAGTCCCACCAGAGTAGTTTGAAGGCGGTTTATGAGCCACTCACTGGTCTGATCACTTCACCTGATGCAACAGAGTATGCAGCGCCATTCTCTCTGAGACTAGCGATGCTCTTTGCTAAAGGGGTCTGTAGGAAAGTCGTGGACATCCTAAACAAACCTTTCCTGCATGAAAGACCCAAGGGTGAGTGGCCGGGTCCTGGGGGTCGGAAGAGGCAAGTGGTCTCCTCTTCGCCAGGAAACCCGGATAGGTACTGGGGGGCGAGGATTCCAAGGTGATTCCCGCTTCGCCAGCTGTTGGGAAACATGGGGGCCGGTGAGTCAAAAGGAATCACCGTCCCGTCAAAAGGCACACCTGCAGCTTACATGTACTAGAATTATGGTTTTTGAAAAGATGGAATTGGTATACCAGAGATGATCCCAAATTACAGTTCGCCTTAGAAGGGAGTTTTGACCTTGACAAGATAGTCATCTCAGAGGCGCACTTCTTGCCAACACCGTCGGACAAAATCAGTTTGGTGAGGGACCTTGTCAAAGGCTTTCTGGAAATCTAAGTACACTATGCTCACTGGATCCCCCTTGTCCACATGATTGTTAGCATCCAATAAGGTTGAAAACTTTCTTGTCAAGTTCATGGTTTTGCCTTTCCGTTGTCATTCTGGTGTGATCACAGATTGATTTTTGGCCTCTTTTGTCCAGTGAAGATGAACAGAAACTGCTGGAAGGATTGGGACAGGCTTATTGTTGTGATTGTGTAACAATGACAACAATGGCATTGGAACAGCCACACAATAGGCCCATCAAATACATCAGTGTTTTCCTCTTCCACTTTAATAGACAAAAGTATTAAATGGCACATGTGGTCTTGAATCCGATGATTCTGATTTTCTAACAAGGCCACAAATCATTTCTATCTGCTATTTAACAACCCTCAACACAGCATTATCTCTTTTTATTATTTCATTTCAACTACTTATTTCTTACCAATCCAGTCAATCTTATCCGGTATATGGAGTCTGTTAAATTCATACGTTGACATTAGGTAATCCATAAACACGAGCAACATGGTAGCAGTTTTGATCAGCAGTTTTAATATTTATGACATTTCGAATAAGAAACTACTACGTAGGGAATTGAAGACAGAGGGCCTAGTCAGTTTTATAAGGAACCAGATTATTAGATGAATTGCCCACCTTCCAGAAGTTTCTAGATTCCAGAAAACCAATCCCCACATCTCTTGACCACTCCACCCAGTCCAATCTCTTCGATATTCAATGACAGTTGTTTCAACCCACTAGCCCCACCTCAAACGATCGAGGACACCATAAATCCTCTTTCACCTCTAGGCTTCAAGATAGTAAGAAAGCTTTCTTACTGTTTCCTACAGTTCCTGAAGGACATAACAAGAACCTTGATGTTCTAATCTCTTCCAATTTAAGTTTCCAGAAGAAGGTTCAGATTCACAAAATAAAATTAGAGCCTATAGTATGAATAACTAATATATACTATGTTCATATAATTACTTCAGAGTGATACACACATTCAAAACATTTGCGCGGAAGAGAAAAATTGCAAAACCCATGAAAAACTACTGCATTGTATTTTTCCTTATATTAAAGCAGTCCTGGCCCCCGCCCCCATCAGCCCTGGATACAGATCCCGAGTTGAGCAGGATTCAGGCTCAGGTCTGTTCTTGGTAGCAGGGCCGGCTCTGGCTTTTTGGCCGCCCCAAACAAACAAACAAACAAAAACGGGGCGGCCAGAACAGCAAAGCAAAAAAAACCAAACAAACCCTGCACCGCGGCCGGAGCGCGGGTGCAGGGGGACCGGCTGGCGGGGGGGAGGAGGAGGGAGCGGGCGGGAGAGAGAGAGAGAGGAAGGGGGCGGCCAGGGCTACAGCGAGGGGCGCTGCCACGCGGCCCCTCCCACTGCGCCACCGCCTGCCGCGAGGGCTCCGCTCTGGTCGGCGGGGAGGGAAGGAAGAGGACTGCCCTGCAGGGCGCTCTGGTTCTCTGCGCCGCCGCCCCCTACAGGGCGGCCGGAGCGGAACAAGAACAAAACAAAAACAAACAAACAAAACAAAAAA